CTGGAATTGCCTATAATTTGTCAAAAGAAAAATTACCCACCCCAGTTAGAAGAAGTTATCACAGCTGGGCGTGGTGGCTCATGCCTGTAATTCCAACACTTTGGAAGGCCAAGGTAGGAGGATCACTTGAGCCCAGGAGTTTGAGCAGCTAGGGCAACACAGTAAGACCCTCTCTCTATTTTTAAAAATTTTTAAATTTTTTTTAAAAAAAAAAGAAAAAGAAAAAAGTTTTTATGTGTGGCAGGCACATGCTGCCACAACTCCTTCAGGAGTTCACACAATAAGTTATTAATCTACTAAGCAAAAAGCTACTTCTCAGAGAGAAGCTACTTTTATTTTTTAATTTAATTTAATTTTTGAGATGGAGTGTTTTGCTCTTGTCGCCCAGGCTGGAGTGCAATGGCGTGATCTCGGCTCACTGCAACCTCTGCCTCCTGGGTTCAAGCGATTCTCCTGCCCCATCCTCCTTAGTAGCTAAGATTACAAGCACACGCCACTAGGCCCAGCTAATTTCTGTATTTTTGGTAGAGATGAGGTTTTACTGTGTTAGCCAGGATGGTCTTGATCTCCTGACCTCGTGATCCACCCGCCTCGGCCTCCCAAAGTGCTGGGATTACAGGCTTGAGCCACCGCGCCCAGCCGATATAATCAGTTTTAAAACAAAATAAGATACAGCTTTAAAGTGCAGTGATTATCTTTTGAGGGGCGGGGCAGCTTATTAATCTTAATGAACTATGTTTTGTATAATGAGATATTAAAATGAAATGTGCATGTTGAGTTGGGGTAAACAAATTAGGTGAGAAGAATGATGACATAGGATTAAAGTATGCTGGTAAATTAAGCATGGAGATAACTAAGACATTTTTATGTACAAAGGCCATTTTCTAAGGTAGTAAATGAATTGGCAATGACTGAAATGCATTTAGGTAGATATTGTTTTGACATAACATTCAATATTTCTGGAATTGCCTATAATTTGTCAAAAGAAAAATTACCCACCCCAGTTAGAAGAAGTTATCACAGCTGGGCGTGGTGGCTCATGCCTGTAATTCCA